GCCTGCCTCGGCCTTCCAAAGTGCTGGGGTTACAGGCATGAGTCACTGCACTCGGACTCGGATACTTTTTAATTGAATAAAAATTTAAAAAGTTAAACTAAAAAAAATTTACATAGCATCTAGAGGAAAAAAAGTTTTTTTCTTCCCAAAATGTACAATAGTTTCTGAAGAGTTTTATTTGTGTGTAAGGACAGTTATTCAAGCTTTCTCAAATGCGTCAATAACATCCCAATGGAAGGAGAAAACTGTAGGGCAAATATTTGTGTAGTTCCTTTATAAAAGACAAAAGATGTTTAATTACTGTATAACACATCTCTTAACCCTCAAACAACAAATTTAAAGCTTTGAACTCTTCTGTTCCTTCTGTTGATCCAGAACTAGAAGTTGGTTAGAAATAGCATCTTTCATTACAGTATTGGCCTTGATGGAGTCCCACTGGGGCAGATCAAATATCAAATGTCATAACAAAATTTCAATTCTAGGTCACTTTGTTTTATAATATTGAAAGATGTCAGAGGCAAATGCATATATTGCACCAGACTCAGATGGCGCAATCTGAAAATGCCAAAATGCTCTCATATCCCTGTGTTTATGATGAAGAGTAACTAACTCATAACTACTGTTCTCCTAGCTGGTGTTTTTAATTTATTATCAACTCCCATCCGGGAACTTGTTAAATAATGTGGCAGATCCCAAGGAAAAGTAAAATCTTTCAATGGCAGAAACTAGTCAACCACGGGAGGAAATAATGCATTTGATTTATAGTGGCATTTGTGTTAATGGGATTTATTTGGTACGACCAGATTTCTGCCAAGGTTAGCTGGTAACAAGAGTTCACACCAACTTTTTAAAAAAAGGGTTTTTTGTTTTTTTAAATAAACATGGGCCTATTTCCCCTTTCATTCCTTCATAAAACAAGTGCTAGCTAAGTCCCTGTCCTTGAGGAGTTCCCAGACTAGCTGGGAGTGCCAGCTATGTGCCAGAATATTCTTCAGTAAACTTCAGATGTATCTGCTGGAGGAGAAAAGAGAAAGAAAAAAAAAAAACATAAAAATTCTCAGTCTTCATGGAGCTCATGCCCTAGTGGGAAGGAACAGAAAATAAAAAGGAACCTAATAAGTAGGTTACAGTGCATAAAGGATGTCCAAGAACCTTTCATTGTGAAATTAAGTTTAAATTTTAAAATACAGATGGCTTAACCCTTCATGGACAAAATGCCTATCACTCGATATTGAACCTCCACTGCGAGATTAAAAGGTGCATCTCTTAAACAACTAGCATGAAATGCATTTGGGAATGTGAACCTCACTTCTTCCAACAACTATTTCATATTTCCTCTTGGAATGCATGTCCCATGACGCCTGTCTCCTCATTCAAAGTCTTTGGTGCCCTGCCTTCCCATTCTTGATGCATTTCCCCTTCTGTGGGAAATGCACACAACATCCTGGTCAAGCACTACACTAAGTGCTGGAGATACATAGTTAAGATACAGCCTTTACCCTTAATGAGTTGACCTTCTAATAGGAGGAAAACAAAGGAAGACCAAGGCTTATGAGTGTGTAACTGAAGAATGCAAAGTACGCTGGGTGTGCCAGAGAGGGAATGATTATCTCTACCTGGGGAAGTCTCCTCTGAGGTGGTGTGTGGGAAGATGGGTAAACACGTGAAAGCAGAGACTGTCAAATGGTTCATATGGGCCAGGAAGCATGGAAGATGGGGCAGGGAAGAAGTGAAGCTAAATCCTGGAACTGCAGGAGCTATGTCTGCACAGATGCCATAACTGGGAGCTACATCCCTTGAGAGAAGAAATGGAAAGCAAAAGCAGAGGTGGTTTATGAGCAGACTTGAGCCACAGCCCTGGGCACATTGTGAAGGGTGATTGGACCTCAAGGCACAGGTTAACTAAAGAAAGAGTATCTAAAGAAAGCAAGGAGACTAAGTAGCAGAAGAGGACAATGGCAACAATGTAAGTTAGACCCAAAATGAGCCCTCATTCTCTTGGCTGACCTCTCCATTCCCCATTGGATACACCACCAACCAGTCATCCAGGTTTAACAGTAAACCCTTCCATTTACTCGCTAGTCTCAGCCTAGCAATGTTCCCAAACTCAACACAGGGAAAGTGTCACTGGGCATGCCCTTTATATCCACACAAGCTGGAAAAGTTAGAGCTTCTCTGCTCTCATATTAAATACTCATAAAATTCATGTTCCAGAATTCATGTAGGACACTTTTATTTGGAGCCACATCACTATCCTCTCGCGCTAGAAAGGAAATAGGAAGAAGACACTATGCCTTGGGATCATTCTATGTATTATATACAGTATACAGTAGGGTGACCATCTCCCCAGCTAGTCTGGGAACTCCTCAAGGACAGGGACTAGCTAATAGTAGACATTTAATTAAGAACTGACAAACAAATTAATTAACCCACTGAATTTTTCTCCATAGTTCTAACCATATATTATAACAGATTAAAACAAAAAACACCAATTGCTGCTATTTTTCATTCTAAGGGATGACAGCATGAAGACTATCCAACCAACTTCTCACAAACACAAAATCTATGGCCCCACCTGTACAAGGCACACAAAGTCACACATCAGAATCACAGACCGGCAAGTTTAGATGTACATTTTCAAATACTTTCCTGTTCTCCAAATTTGCTGAGTGATATTACCAGTTTAGAGTATACATACGCATACACACACAGCTTGGAAAGAAACATTGTAATCCAGAAATATTATGTGGAAAGACCGTTTTGCAAAACTATAAGAACTCAGTTGAAGCTTCACCACCTCCAAAATGAACACATAGTTGACCTGGAACAACAGGGGCTTGAGCTGCTCAGGTCCAGTTATACACAGATTTTTTTTTTTTTTTTTTTTGAGACAGAGTCTTCTGTTGCCCAGGCTGGAGTGAAGAGGCATGATCTCGACTCACTGCAACCTCCAACTCCTGGGTTCAAGCAATTCTTGTGCCTCCGCCTCCCAAGTAGTTGGGATTACAGGAGCCTGCCATAACTCCGGCTAATTTTTGTATTTTTTTCAGTAGAGATGGGGTTTCGACATGTTAGCCAGGCTGGTCTCGAATGCTGACCTCAGGTGATCTGCCCACCTCAGCCTCCCGAAGTGCTGGGATTACAGGAGTGAGCCCCAGTGTCTGGCCAACGTGTGGATTTTTTTAAAGCAAAAGTTACACCTGCCTCTCCTGCCTCCCTTCTGCCTCTTCCCCCTCTTCTACCTCTGCCACCCCTGAGACAGCAAGACCAACCCCTCCTCTTCTTCAGCATGAAGATAATGAGGATGAATGCCTTTATGATAATCCACTTCCGCTTAATAAACAGTACATATATTTTCTCTTTCTTGTGATTTTCTTAGTACCATTTTCCCTATCTTACATTATTGTAAGAATCAGCACATAATACATGCAACATACAAATATGTGTTAGTCAACTGTTGATGTTACTGGTAAAGCTTCCAGTCAACAGTAGGCTATGGATTAGTAGTTAAGTTTTTGAGGAATCAAAGTTGTTTGTGGATTTTCACCTGCGCAGGAGTACCAGTGTCCCTAACCCCACATTGTTCAAGGGTCAACTGTATGAATATGCAGTGGCCTGGCCCGGGCTGAAGTATAACAGACAAAACTGAAAGAGAAATTTTTCTTTAAAAAGAAAAAGGCCACACTGTTAAATTCAAATATAAATACTCATTTACATCAAAGTCTAATGCTCTGGGCAGGTAATTCTTGGGCCTGGCTACTGACGCATGTTTGGGAACAACGGAACACACAGAATCTCCCAAAGCAGCCTCCTTCCTAAAGCCTCTCCAGCAGTCACTCTCTCACGCCCAGGTTACAAACACTATGCTTGGTGCAGAAGAGAGTCGATTTCACTGATTAAAAGCACTAATGATACTAAGATTTGCGTAGAGAAACGCAAACATATAGCAGTTCAGATTGACAGTTAGTGAGCATGGGAACTTCCAAAGTCAGCCCCTCCTCCCCTATGGTGTGAGGGTGTGTGGGTTTGGGGGACAGGAGTCAGCAAGGGTGTCTTTTCTTGATGAGAAGAAGAAAGTGCAGAGACTAGTGCTGCAGAGAACTACCCTTTCTGGAATCCATAGAGGGTCTGGCCTTTTATCCCCAGGCCCAGGCCCAGGCCCAACCCAAGCCTGGGGGCCCGGGTTTCGTCATGGGCACCTCCTGCTGCCATGCCCTGGCTGTTCCACACGAGCAGAGAGAGACAGGAGGCAGGCCCTTCTGACACCTACTTAAACGACGCAGATGGAGAGGGGAGTATGGGGGATGCCTTTACTTCCCCCTCAGGAGGCGCCCAGCAGGAGCCTACAGAGCCAGCAACTCCAAAATCGGATTTCCACACATCCTCCCACCCCAGAGCATGCCTCACCCCTCTGGCAGGAGGAAACAGAGCCTTAAGCAAGCGTGGCTCTGGTGTATGAGGGGCTTTTAGAAAACCTGAAGAAGGCTTCTTATACGATCCTGCACTTTTTTCAAAACTTTACAGAGGTAGCCAAGTAGGGACACAGTTATTCATTTACTGACGCAAAGGGGGCAAGGGTGTTACTTTAAGGCGGACACAGTCCATGTCTGCAAGATGTCCTGCGCTACAGACACATACTTTATTAATAATCTTACATACACAAAATGTCCAAGAGACAGTCTAACAGGCTAATTTCTGACAGCTCCAGATAACAGCAGAAGGCACTGAAGCCATACTGACTCTCTGGCTTCCACAAACTACTCAGAAGAGATGGTCCCTTTTCCCACCCAAGGGATATGATACAAATAAATAAATACAATTATCTGCAGAACTTACAGTGCAAGAACAACATTGTGAAGTCCTTCTCCCCAAATGCAGTGACTTGTGGGAAACAGATAGGAAAATGAAACGAACAGCTGGAAGATTTAATTACAGAAGAGCAACTCAGAAGCTGACATTGCTTCAGAGAACAAGCCAACAGCCCAAGCCTTCTCCCTTACCTTAAGATACAGAAGCAGCTCTTCGCTCCTGAAGATAAGCGGCAGAACCCAAATCTCTGTTTGCTGTCAATGTCAGTGAGCACGAACGTGAAGTTCTGGCCAACTTGGCTAACTGTGAGGCTGCAGCAAAGGCAGAACAAAGGGGAAAATGAATGTGCAGTAAGTTTCTTGATAAAGTATCTAATCACAATGAGTCATTGAACTTATAACATTTCCTCTCTCAGTGGAACTCTTAAAATTTACACACTTCAAGGGAATAGACTGTAAGCAAGTTTAAAAAAAAAAAAAAAAAAGACAGGCTGCAGCCCATTCTAGTGACCACCTCAGAAATCAAATAATCAAGGCTATCATACCTTCTCCTTATTGAGTTCAGTCTCTGAGGCAGCTCTGTCAGTCAGCCCATCAATCCTGAAAGGTGCCCTCTATTAACTTCATTTTGCTGATGAAGAAATAGTCTAGAGAGGCATTGCCTAAGGTCAGCTATCAGTAGCAAAAAGCTGAATTTTAACCCTAGCTCTGATTCCACAGGCCACTCTACTAGCTTGCTGTTAACAATCCTCACCTGAGACTCCCCTATTCAGAAAATAAGAGTGCTTGCCAGAGCAGAAGGTAAATGTTACTATGTGCCAGCCACAAAGTTAGACATCATATATGTGCAGACCATCTCACTCTCATGACAACCATGGAATTCAGAGGATGTTCCCATTTCACAGAAGAGGAAACTATGGAACAAAATAGGTAGGTAACTGAAACAAGGTCACACGGCTAACAAAGGGGAGGAGCTGAAACTGGAAAGAGGGCAAGCTTAGGTTAACTTTCCTAAATTCCTGTATCTTTCATAATTTCTGAATTTATGAGAAACATATTTCATATTTTAGAGGACAAAAATAACCAAAATGTCTAGCATTGCATGATGTCTTCTAAGAAATAGAAGCTTTTTTATTTTTTTGAGACGGAATCTCGCTCTGTAGCCCAGGCTGGAGTGCAGTGGCGTGATCTTGACTCACTGCGATCTCTGCCTTCCAGGTCCCAGTTCAAGGAATTCTCCTGCCTCAGCCTCCCGAGTAGCTAGGATTACAGGCACTCGCCACCATGCCCAGCTAATTTTTGTATTTTTAGTAGAGATGGTGTTTCACCATGTTGCCAGGCTGGTCTTGAATTCCTGACCTCGTGATCCACCCACCTCAGCCTCCCAAAGTGCTGGGATTACAGGCGTGAGCCACCCCGCCTGGCCAGGAAGAAATACAATTAAATTAGAGCAGATTTTGCTAAGTGGAAATAATATGACAATGCTAGTTCCTGTCAGAGAAGAACCTGAAGAGTGAATGGGTTTCCCTACCTTATGCTAGATTCAGCTTTGTCTTATAGAGGCAACAAAATAGAATTTTCTTTTCACCTTTAAATGTTTAGGTCCTATAAAACTAAATTTCCCATTAAGGAGAAATGCTTTGAAGATATATATCCATTTTTGTAAGTTACTGCAATTATCTCAGAAAAAGAAGAAAAGAGTTTTTTCTCTGAAGATTAAAATATTTTTGGTTAAAAAATCCAAATTCTAATACATGAATTTATACTAACATAAAATGCTAGAATTTGACACTGAGTTATTCAAAGGGACTCATCAACTCACTGTATTTTACAATATTCAAATTGGTAAAATATTCAAATCTATGCTATCAGCTATCAATTACTTTATAAATCATCAGAAGAAATTTAAAACTCATGGTTTACCAAGCTTTTTCCAAAGGTAGAATTCTTATTGAGTCTTTGGAAATGATATGAATTAAGCTTTCAAAGATAGGGTGGACTTTCTAAAACTCCCTTATACAGCCACATAAATAATTAAAATTAAAGGAATTTCAAGGTATTCCAATACAAAGGTCAATGGATTCTGCCTGTTCATATTTAAGGAGACAACTCCATCCCTTAGAGAGTGATTAGAGTGTACAAGAAAATCATTCAGAAAGAAAAAGTGTTCCACTCTCCTTATTTAACTAGGAAGGTGAACAAAAACAAGGTGGCAATTTAAAAGCAACGTGGTCATAAAGCAGGTGTAAGTAATGCTATCCCTCCACCTTACACAGCCAGGAGAAGGAACACATTTCTATAAAAGTTATAGAGCCGTCAAGGGGACACCAAATGCTACCTTCTTATGGCTGTTATGTTTTATCTATAAAGCTTGGATACTGTGTTACTATGGTGATTTAATACTATGTTTTAAAGGGGGATTATATGATTAATTTTAACAAGGTTGAGAACTGAAGATGTGTGAGAAACAGCATTCTAGCTCACATAATTAAAGTGATTGGGGAGAAAAGTGGGCCTCAATGGGGGAGGGGAAATCCTGTTTTATTAAAATATTTAAAGCAACAGGTCTGGATGATTCTAAGTTACAAATAAGGTTGTGCTTTAAGAAACACTACTACGTGATCATGCAAAATACAATTATTCGGTGTTTTAACTCAGGTTTCGATTTCACTTCTAGAATGTTTAAAATGAATACTCTCTGTAAGTATCATCCTAGAAAGGAAGGGTATTGATAGGACTGGATGAAAAGAAAACACCCAGGGTCTCCAGGAAAAAGAATGAATGCACCTGATTTGTGAATTGCATGTTATTAATTTCCTACTTTCTTTTTTACTCCCATTAAAAATGCTGAGAATGTGTTTACACCACAGATTCAAAGAAAGAATCATTACTCATTTACCTGGTTCAGATCCTAACTCAATCACTGACTAAATGGGCCTTAATTTAGCAAGTTACTTCAAACCTTTAAGCACCTCAGTTTCTTCACCTGGAATAACAATGAGATACTACCATCCAACCCATATGATGTTTTGAGAATAAATGGAAAAGAACTTAGTATAAAGGCCAGTCCAGAGTAGGAACAATCAAAAAGAGGGATGCAAGCTGTTGCCAACTGTGAAAACTAAAATTCGTATTAAAAGCCAGGCATTTACTTAGAATCCTCCTGATTCAGCTTTATAATATCTGTGAGCAGAGGTCTGTATTTCTCTCTCTCTCTCTCTCTCTCTCTCTCTCTCTCTCTCTCATCTGTTGGGTATTTTTCAGGAAAGAGTAATCCTCCGGGTGCGTAACTGACTGATGTTTGCATTACAGTGAAAAAGATTCTTTTTCTGGGGTGCCACAGCTTACAAGGAGGTACTTATTCTCAATTGATTCACTTTTTAAATTCCTACTAGGGTGAAGTAGAAGTCAACAAAAGCCCAAAATCAGTAGACTCTAAAAGATTGTTTTCTTGGACAATTTCCAATAAACTAAAAGTCTGGCAAGGGAAGTCAAACAGCATAACTTAAAGGGTTCTCAATCTCCAAAGAATTTATCATTCTCTCTCTCCTACTTGCTGGGGTAGTCTATGAGAGTGTTCACTATTTCTCCATAAAAATGACTCCAGGGAAAGGGTCTGCTTTCCTGGAGTCTCACCATCTCACCCAATTTTCTTGTTTCACAGGTGGGAAAACTGATATTTAGGGTTTATTTTCATTTTGTTTTCCAAGGTAATCAGGACTAGAACAAAAATCCAATCCAACTTCTGGTTCAAAGTCCTTTCCGTTCTGCCACGCTGCACTAAACACAATGAAAATCCTCCCTGGGAAGCTTTCAACTCAGTTTAAGAAACTAAGGTATGCGAGGAATTCAGATAGTTGTCTTAGCAAAAAAACATATTTTTTCCTAAGGCAGGGAGACCACATTTGAGGATCTCCAGAAATAAACCCAGGAGACCAGGGCCAAGACCAGCCCTAGATGCATTTCTCGTAGCGTCCCATGCCTAGGAATATAAAAAACAAGGGAGAAAAGCAATGACTGTTTGAGCCACAGACTTAAACCTTCATGCTGCCTTTTAAATGCCTACCAGCCATTCAGAGCCTCTCCAGCAACATTCTGCTTCATCTTGAAGTTGTTTACAGGTCCAGTGCATGAATGGTATGAAGCATGAGGATGAACAGTTTGATTCTAGTCTCCCAGTGAGAAACTTTTACATGTGAGCTTCACTTTAGGTTTCATTATCCATTTTGCAAATTGAGCCTACAACTACACTGGGCACTGTAACAAGTTCTGGATATATAACACTGAAAAATATAGACAGGGCCCCTGCCTTTGCAGGCTTTCTGTCTAGTTAGAGAGAAATGATAAACAAGTACACCACGAAACCTACAGCTTGTAATAGTGTTGTTACAAAATCAAAGAAGGAATAAAGATAGAAGAAAATGGAAGAGAAAGGCCCTACTGAGATAACGTGGTCAGAGGCAGTTCTCAAGGGATGGCAACAATATTGACCAAAAGATGAGATGGAGCAGCCACTCAAGAAATAGGGCACTGGGCTGTTTCAGGCAAAGAAAAGAGCTATGCAGAGATCAAGGAACCAAAAGGACAGGAGTACTGCTAGCGCACAGCAGACAAAGGGGAAGGGCATCACATGAAGCTGCTAGATAAAGCAAGCTCCAAACCACACAGAGTCCCACAGGTCATGGTAAAGAATTCAGATATTTTTTTGGGTGAGGGTGAGGCAATGGAATGTCATTGAATGATTTTGATTAAGAGAAAAACACAGTCTGGTTTATAACTTCAAATACTTCAAATATATGATGTGACTTACATGGAGAGCAGTTTGGAAGAAGGTATATGTAGAAGTGGAGAAAACAATCAGGAAGCAATTGCAGTAGTCCAGGTGAGACTGGATGGTGGCTTAACTCATGTAGGGAGAGCAGAGATGGAGAGGGATGGATAGTTCAAGTTATAGATAGCAGATATGAATGACAGGTTTGCAGATGGACTGGGAATTGGGGAGCAAAAAGGCAGAATATTACCATTTGATGATAGGAAAGACTAACAAGTTTGGGGGAAGATCCAAGAGTTCCATTTGGGATATGTTAAGTCTGAGAAGCCTGTAAAACATCTAAATAGAAATGTCAAGTACAGAGCTGAACACACTAGTTAGGAAATCAGAGGAAACGTTTGGATTGAAGCTATAAATTTGGAAGTCATCTACACACAGATGGTATTTAACACCATGGTAAAGACTGGGATCACTTAGGGAGGGAGTTCAGAGAAACAAAAGAGGATCCAGGACTAATTTATAGAAACACCAATTTAGAATA